CTAAGAGCCACATGATTATAATCCTATTAAAGCTGTACCCTGAGAATACAGCCCTTCCCCACCAGTCTTCACAGGGCAGTCAAACCCACCCACCAACGGTAGTGTGAAGGCCTTCTCAATCTTTGTGTGGCTGTTCTGGTATCCTTCCTTTGCTATGGAGAAGATGGTAGCTCATCTCTTATAATAAGGTCTCCATCCGAGACTGGTAGGGATTGGAGATGTATTTTGTCAAGAGTTCTGGCCAAATAAGTAAAATAACTCTCTAGTAATATTTAGGCATGCAGAGGGAATGTTTCCTGGGGCCGTTTGGATAGCTTATTTTAAACAGGCTTTAGTGTTATTTTGTCCCTATTCCCAGTGGAACCAAGGGGGGTTGAAGGCATGCTGTCCCCCTGGAGCACTGCTGGTTTCTCATGAGGGGCCATGCTGAGATGGCACGGCTCTGTGTAGATAGGGTCCCTGCTGGTTCACCCTGCCCCAGCTTCAGCAGACAGGTGGGCCCAGGCTCTGGACAACAGCAGTCAGCTTCACCCATCTTCCCTGTCCGATGGCAGGCACTAGCCACAGTGTGATGAAATCTATGTTGGGATCTCAGCCTGGTGTGCCAGGGGGTGGGGGGTGGGTGTATCAAGAAGGAGAAAACTGGCCCCCAGGGGGACTCTGTCACTTGGAAGGTAAAGCGCTCTAGTGGCCCCGCCTCGGGATCGTCCCTCAGGTGAGCTGGATCCCATTTGCTGCTGCCAACCAGTGAGACAGATGATGCTGAGAACTGAGCACCCAACTGGTTGGCAGCCAGGGGGGCTCTGTAAACTCTCGGAGGTGAGCAAATGGGACATTAGCATGATTTTCCCACCTGGAAATGAAGCTCTCTTCTTTTTAAAAATACACATTCTCAGTAAGATTCCTTTGGCAGCATAAAAAGTGTTTACCAGAATTGACAGAAAAATACCATCCAGAGGTCTTCAAAGGTATATGAATAAATGGACATAAGGGTCCACCTTAGCCAGATTGATACTGCCTGTATTTCTCTCTCTGTCCCACTTTCACACACTGCCAGGGCATACCAAGTTTCTCCTTCAGGGCAGTTAACCTAGTTTGTAATCTGTTCCTTGTGTGCTTATGTGCTTCATTCTGTCTTTATTAAATCTGCCTCATGATGTGTGTAGGCTCCACAGTGTCAGGACTGTGTCATTTTGACACACCATTGATACCCCCAGGACACTATCTGAAGTATTTGTAGAAGAAAGGAAGAACAGGAGGAGGGATCAGAAGGAGGGTGAGAGGACAGTGTGTCTATGGAAGAGAACAGCTCAGCAGAAGAGGTAATTTAGGGCCGCTGGAGCAGGGCTGACAAGTGCTCAGGTCCTATGGGAAGGCAGAATGTTCAGGAGGCCTCCCTGCAACAGGCTCTACCTCTGCAGCTGCCCAGGGATTCTGGCTTTACAGGCAGATCTGGCCAGAGGCAGGACCAGCAGGGAGACACAGAGACCCAAACCAGGCATTTGCTGGGCAGAAGGGCAGGCCCAGAGATGGCACTACTGGGTAGGAGAGCAGATAGTTCCGACTTCCAGAAGGTGCAGGCACTTTACCCCCAAAACCTATTACAGAGAACCTTAGATCTTCCTCAGAGTCAATTTCCCAGATTTACAGTGGCAACACAATGCCTTATTCCTAATTCCTAGACTGGCATGTGGGTGGGTGTGTGTGTCCGTGAGAGAAACAAAGAAGGAATCTTGAATCCACTGTGGTTAAACCCCACCATGGAGAACTGCACGGCTAAAACAATGGGGCAGGCGCTGCCATCCTAAAGCCTGCACTGCAAATGGGATCCGTCCATCTTTACTAGGGAACTATGATAAACGAGCACAGACAGACACTGGTCAGGATAAGCCACTTTATTTAAGAGCTTCGACAGCCCAAAGTGGTTTAACATGGATGCATGGAAGATTTATCTAGATGATAAAATACCTGAACTTGAAAGGCACATAAATTATAATTTTGCAGTTTCTCTCTAAGATTTCACATAGTCAAGTGCTTTAAGTAATGAACGAAATGCATATAAGGTTGACTCCTTTCACACAAGCTATCTAGTTAGTGTCTGGGGAGTTTGACTCCAGTGGGACTGAGTTCCGAATCAGTGCCACCCATCTGTACCTGTGGCAGTCAGTCCCTTTATCAGAGTAGAGATCATGGGAGGACTGATAAATATATAATAACAGCAGCTATTGTTGACAGAGCACTTACCTTACTGCACGTGAACTGGGGGCAGCATTTCACACGCTCATCTGGATTAATACTCCTAACAGCCCTATGAATTAGGTGTAAAGATTCCCATTTTACAGATTCCCAAATAGGTTTAGAGAGCTTTGGTGACACATGGGAGGTCACACAAGCAATTTTATCTGAATATATAGCTGTGGTCTTCACCTTTAAGCTGCAACATACATGAAAATGCTTGTCCCTCAGCAAATGCTTAAACACATTAGTTATGTTTCCTCATTTTCATACTCCTTTTAAAAACACCCTTAATTAAGAACAAAAAGTTAGCTTCTTGGGCTTGTGTTCATCTATCTGTTAATTCATTCACACATGTCTTTTGGCATGCCTGGTTCTCTGCTATTGCAGACAAGGCTATTGCAGGGCCTTCTGAGAGTGCAGCTGCCAAAGAGGACCTTTATCAGGCAGAACACCCCTCTCTGCCGCCAGGCTGATGCTTTCTGGCAAAACCACTGCACCAGATAATCTAACTCCCCAGCTAATCACCCTGCACAGTCCCTCATACCCTCCACTCCCACCCACCCCTGCCTTGTTTCAATTTTTGCCCAGACTAAGCAATATCAATTGTAGTCAACTCCTACATGGCAGGTGCTGTTCTATGCATTTTAGGTACACATTAAGTCCCCGCAACAACCCTCTGAGATAGGCAATATTATTATTTCCATTTTAGTTCATTCAGAGGGAGGAGAAGGTGAGAGTTAATATTTCTTCAGGGCCAACTACATGCCATGCATGTGTCAAGAACACACAATCCTCACAGCTCAGACACAGCCGGGAAGTACCAGGTCTGTGACCACCAAGCCTGGAGCTTCCCTTCTCTCTTTGCTGGCACACTGCCATGGGCTGAGAGGTGGACAGAGGGGCTGTACAAAGGCTGCCCCTTCCCCTTCTCCCTCGGTTCACATCTGTCTTCCGTTTTCTACCTCTCCCCACAAACCATGCCAGACTCTACCCTCAGCTGTGTTCCCTCACCTTCCAAACTATGCCCAATTCTCCCCTTAGCTATGTCCCCCTGCCCTCCGCACCGCCTAGCCAGGTTTCATGGAGTGAATCCTGGATCTACATCAATATTTTTCAACCTTTTTTTATCTCATGGCACACTTGAACCTATATTTAAACTTCCGGGGCACACAACTAAATTATGTTGATAAAAAAAGAATTAAAAAATATAAACTTGCTATGCTTTGAACTTTTTTGAAAATAATTTAATTAATGATCTTAAAAAATTTTCATGGCACACCTAAAATCCTCCCATAGCACAACAGTGTGCCTCAAAAATCACTGGCGTACACCAATGGTGTGAATAGAGGTAAAGAAGAAATTGGCTCAAACCAATAAAATACAGCAAGCAGCAGACCGGGGTTTCCTAAAGCCTAAAAGCTCTCCTAAGTCCATGGGGTCCCAAGGCCCAAGAGGCCCTTGAAAAGGGACTACCAGAGTTGCAGCCTCTGGGGAGTCTTTCGGCCAGTTTGGGGAGGGGGGGGGGTGACACCAAAAGCTGAGAGTGACCAGTGAAAGTCAGGAAGTAACTGATGTTCAATGGAACAGCATGAACCATGCATTTTGGGGACTCAAGCGTTGGTTTTCTGGAACATGTGTACTTAGCAGGAAGCAAAGACACTTTCCCTGGCAAGGCTAGAGGGTCACAACTCCTTCCCTTGGGCTCTGTCAGGCTTTATTTCACCTGGCTCACCCACCACAGGCTCCAGGAGGACAAGGCCTTGTCTGATTTCTCTCTGATCCTCAGAGCCCAGTTAAAGTGGGCACCAGTTAAAGGGTTTGAGAATGAACAACTATACCAGTCATCATTTTAGAGAACAGGCTGAGAGATTCTACTCAGAATTGGGTATCTGATAGAGGAAACAAGACCCAGGGAGGGGAGTGAGTTTGCTCAGAGGCAGGCACCCTATGTTCCGCACAGAACAATATCCAGCCTCCACCCAGAACATCTTCATCTTTGCTTTAGTTACTGAACCCCCAAACCAGCGATAAGTCATTTACATTCTACTTTTCCATCCTCTATGGGCAGAACAGTTCCATCTCACACAGAAGGAAGTTAAGGAATTTGCTTTCCCCTAGCTTTCTGCAGGCCAGCCCCAAAGACTCCCTTTCTCAAACAAGCCAACATTCTCTCCCAGCAAAATGCGTTTGCTCTGGTGTTCTCCATCCTGGTATTCTCTAAAGTTTTAGTTCCAGCAACCCTTATAGCCGGGGACCCTGCTAAAACGTCTCCAGCACCCTGCATTTTCCATCTTCACAACTCTCACCATAAAGTTTACAGTTGTTTGTATAGATACCCACACTGGATTGTGACTTCATGGGGCGGCCCCACGTTACTTGGCCTACCTCTTCAACCCCAGCACTCGGTCTAGTGGTGGGGACTCAGGGGCACACGGTAAGTCTGTGTTAGACATTGTGCTTATTTTTAACTGTTGAGGGCACAAATGCTGAAGGGATACGAAATCATGTGTGCCAATCTCCGGTCACAGTCAAAGTGGTACTGAGGTCGATAACAGTGCAAAAACAACCGGTGGCGCACAGAGGGAGAGCCGGCTGGGTGTTCCTGGCTCCGCACACCGTCGCCACCTGTCGCCCAGGAACCGGCGCCGAGGTTTCCGCTGCGGGCCCAGATCGTGTGGACTAGGCGTCCAGCCGCCATCCAGGTTCTCGCGGGCGCGGGCGCGGGCAGGAACGAGATGCCTGGGGGCCCAAGCTAAGCTTACCTGCGCGTCGCCGGGTTGAGCAGTGGCGCTCGGCGAGTTTCGGGGACTGGGGGATCGAGGGCCTAACCGGGGCTGTCGGTCGGCGCGCGTCCCAGCACCGGGCGTGGAAGGCGCTGAGTCTCCCAACGCCAGGCCGCCTTCCTGCCAGGCAGCCCGGGTCTGGCCCCGCTCGCCTCCGCGCTGGGGGCGGGGTCTAAGGTGAGCTTGACCTTGCCCTCCCCCCAGCTCCCGCGGGAGGACCCAGTCTGAGGGCGACGGTCTGCGCCCCGCCCCCTCGCTGTGGGCGGGCCCCAAGGAGACCCGCCCCTAACTCAAGCCCCGCCCACGGGCTCCCAACCGCCGGGAGAATTTTGTGCTGCGTGTGCATTTGCTTTTTATTTCCCTATGTTTAGTATTCCGCTTGTTTCCTACATTTATTTAATTTTGCCTTCTATTTTAAACAACTGAATTAAAAATATAAAAGTAACGTACGAGCACTTTTTACAAAACAAAATTACCTAGATGTGCTTATAATGAAACCAACAGGCTCCTTCTCTGTTGCTCCCCCCCACAGCCGTTTTTAACAGTTCTTCCGTTTAGTTCTGGTGGTCACCCCCTTGTCGCTAAAAAAAATAAGCTTACATAGCGATTTTTTGATTTATCTATTGACTTTCTGCCATGTTAGATGAGGATTTACTCTCTTACTGTGCCACCCCGCTTCCTTCTGACAAATTTACACCTCTATTCCCAAGCCCTGCACTGGTGAGTGCTGACACCTCAAACCAGTAGTGGATGAAGGTTTTCTGGAGCCTAAAGCTTACACAATTGTGGGAGGAGAGGGGAAGAGAGGACTGTTTTAGAAAGACTACAGAATTTATGGCATGCAAGTGAACATTTATGTAGAATGAGAAAAGAAATCATAAAATCTTGAAGCCCTGGAGATTGGGGTTCCTATACCATGAGATTTTCTTAGATAATTTAGGTCCTGAATTTGCTTTCCTAATGTAATCTGACTTTCTCTGCCTACCCAGAGCTTACTAACTCCCAGCTGCTCACAGGCGTTTGGCAGGGAGGGGTCCAGAAGGTCAGGATTCCACCAGCTTCTTCCAATAGGATTTCCTAATGGACTGAATTGGAGTGCCAAAAAAGAGAGACATCAAGGATGATGTCAAGGTTTTGTGGTTGCTGGGCAATTAATTTCCAGCGTTTCATAGCCACAGTGACATGTCTTCACCTTAGCATGGGGAGTGTTTTATAAAGTTGACTCTAGACACTGCCCCTCTCACCTGAGCCTTAGTTCTCACCTGAGGTTGGCTGGGCAGGAACACTGTCCCCACTCTGAGAAGGGTCAATAAAGTTCAGCACAGGGGGCGTGCAGCTAGCACCCAGTAAGTACCCAGGTAAAAGGTACCTCCTGACTCACAACTGAAGACACAGTGTCCATACCCTCTCTAATCCTTTCTCTTGCTCCATGAGGTGACCTTGGACAAATCACTTTACCTCTCTAAGCCTCAGTTTCCTTTTCTAATTGGAGATAACAACCCCTACCACACTGGGTTTGGGGGAGGATTAAGTGGCTTAATATCTAAATGTGCAAGAATAATTATTTTTGGATATTCTCTTATTAATTAAGTCAATTTATCTCCCAGCAGGATGGGAGGCTTATGAGAAGGTTTAGAGATTTCTAAGAATCTGTGTATAGCATGTGATACCACAGGTTGATTAGAGCCCTAGGATTAGAGTAAGTGAAGATACAAGCAATGATTTCCCCAAGTAGGGACAGCTGTCTTTTCCTGGGGTAGGGAAGAGGAAGTCTTGGTTCCTGAAGAAGCCTGGTGTTACAGGGTGAGAAGTGCCCCCTTGTGATGGGAGGTAAGAACCTTGCATAATAGCAAAGCTTTACCTAACACAAGTCCGGGAGGGGCCAGGGCTGAGAAATCCATTCTGAAGGGAAAACTAGCTCCTAATTGTTCAGAAGCGGGTATACCTTGAAGCAAGTCCTGTCCTTTGCTTAAGCTCACAAAGGAATACCAGATCGTGAGTATTATGGGGATACTATATTTGGATCTCCCCTATATTAGTAAGCTTCATTTCTCCGGTATCCTACCTGCCATTATAGCCCAAGGAGGGAGGATTGTACATAGAGGATGTTTCAGTTTGAGTTCCCCAGAAGCAGATCCCAAGATAAGAATCCTAATGCAAGCGGTTTATTTGTGAGGCACAGGCAAGCAGCAGGGGAAAAGAGAAGTAATACAGGGCAGGAAAGGGAGCCCAGAAGGGATTGTTAAACCAGCAACTATAATAAGTGATTAGAGTTTAATTCTGGGGGGGAACTCTAGAAAGCAGTGTTAAGAACATGCCTCGGAATTATAATTCCCACCCGAGGAAACACTGTGGGAGGCAAGTGTCTAAGGGGAGAACACTGGAACTGACAGATTGGCTCATAATTTTGAACACTTAAAACATTCTAGCCACAAAAAATTTGTTTACCAAGATAAGATCGAGCGGTATTATAATACTATTCTGCAGTTTTCTTATGAAGTTTCAGTAGTAACACTTGGGGCATTAAACAACACGTGATGGTTTGTCTTAGGATGAGGCCTGAGGACCTTCTAGAAAGCTCACTGTGGGATACTATAGGACTGTAGGCTATGTCAGCCTCTGTGTTTGGATGAGTCTATTCTAACCTGGACTTCTGAGCTTTCACTGAGAAAGAGCAAGCTTTGGCTGGGTAAAAATAAAATGTGAAAAGGAGAGACTGGTGGACCATTTTCAGATGGTCAAAGAGGGCAAGCTTTTCAATTGCTCCAAGTACATTAGAAGGTGGGTGTATTCTTACAGTAAACAGATAATGCTCATGAAATGAGATAATGCTCATGAAAAATCTTTCTTATTAGAACCATTGAACCAGGCCTCCACTAGAAAACCTTCATTCTGCAAACCTGGCTGTGTTGCCCATATTCACTACAGAGCTAAAGCAATCCTTTTACATGTGACTCAGTTTGTAATAGTTCCCTGCTCAAACCTCCCAGTGGCTTCCACCACAATTAGGGTAAAATCTCAAGTCTCCCCAGGACCTGCAAGGCCCTCACAAGGTTGGCCTTACCAAGCTCTCCACCGTTGGCCATCCTCAGGTCAAGTCTCCTTGGCTTTGTTGCTGTCCCTTAGACGCACTGGACCTATTTGCTCCCCAGAGCCATTATGTTGCTATCCTCACTGACTGAAATGAAACGGTCCCTCACTTTCAAGGTACCTCACTCATTTCATTAGCTTTCTAATAGACCACCCTATTGAACAAAGTGACAAACACTCCCATTCTGATAATGTCCCTTTTACAGTACTTATTAGCACTCATTGGAGTATATTTTTATTAATTACTTCTTTCCCTTACATAAGTGTAAGGTCCAAACGGGGCTGAGTCTTTATTCCATAACATATTACCCTACCCAGAACCGTGCCTAGCATCCAGTAGATATTCAAGAAATACTTGCTGAATGAATGAATAAATTGAATCCAGCAAATGAAAAATATAATCAGTAAATATACAGAAATAGACAGACAAAAATATTCTACAATGCAGACTTTCAACTAATCTAGACTGAATTCCTCTCAAATTGGAAAGAATTATTAGAACAAAGAGAGAAAAAACAAAATAAAGTGGCCAGGCTGTATTACATAATCTTACATATAATTATGATTAAGTATTCGACTGAGAAATTTTGCTTTTTTATATTTGACACAATGTGTGTGTTAAATATTTAAGAGAAGGTTAGTTTGAAAGGCTACATACTCATTTAAAAGTAGTGAAAACAAAAAAATTTTTCCTAGTCGTTTTAATAATTCAGGATAGTGTTCTGTGGCTTGTGTTGGGGTTTGAGAGCCTAATATGGTAACTGGTTACCCGAAAATAGAGGCCTTGACCAAATATTTAAGATCTCAATTATTTTCATTTTCTGCCTATTTTTTATTCCTATTTCTCATGTTTTATTTTTACCCACTCTTTAGTCACACAATTCACACACTAAAGTTAGTAGAAATATTTCATGGATTATTCAATGCAGCTAAGCAATAAGAGTTTGCTAGAAAATAAGGCCGAAATGGGGCCACCTCGCTGTTCTAAGAAAGTAATTTTTTCTTAAAGGTACAGACTATGAATTTACAGAAGTTTCTACCCTTTATTCTGAGGTAGAAATAAATTCATGTCTGCTGCAAAAAAGGCTTTACAGTGGGATACAAACACTCCCTAAAAACATGTTTCTTGGTGGTGCAATTAAGAAGTCTTATAAACAAGAACAGTTGAAACTATAGACTTGTAAGTGGACCCTTGAAATTATGGCAAGAAGACACTAAATAACGCCTGTTTACTAATGAAAATTTTGCACTCTAGTGCCCCCAGTAGTGGAGTAAGTTTTGGTTTGCATCTGTCTGGGCTTGATTGTTTAAGGAATGCTCCAACAGCAGCACCTAATGCTGTTAAGTTTTTCTCTTCCTTTTGTTTCTTTTCTTTCTTTCTTTTCTTTCCCTCCCTCTCTCCCTTCCTCCTTTCCTTCTTTCCTTTCTCTCTCTCTTTCTCTTTCTGTTTTTTTTTTTTTTTCCTGACAGAGTCTCACACTGTTGCCCAGGCTAGAGTGCCATGGCCTCAGCCTAGCTCACTGCATCCTCAAACTCCTAGGCTCCAGCAATCTTCTTGCTTCAGGCGCCCAAGTACCTGGGACTGTAGGCATGCACCACTACACCTGGCTAATTTTTCTGCTTTTAGTAGAGAAAGAGTCTTGCTTTGCTCTGGCTGGTCTCACACTCCTGAACTCAAGTGATCCTATTACCTCAACCTTTTAAAGTGCTGTGAGTACAGACATGAGCCAGTGCATCTGCCCATAAGTTGTCTTTATTAATGGGTATTTTTATTCCACCCTTGTTGCTAAAACCCTAATCTAGACTTTGAAGTTCATTTGGGCCTACTTGGTACAAAGAGGGCTTCTGGAGGCATTCAAAGCTATAATACCTTGTTTCCTTTGGGAATACCCCATCCTTTTGCTACAAACAGAGAGCCCAAAGAGGTTTGACAGTTTTCGTAAGATTACACACAGCTGGCTGGTAGTGGAGTTCAAGTATAAGTCAAAATTGTTTTATTACAAGT